GAACACCTACACAGTAAAAGAACCATTTATACCAACGTCACGAAAAATAGTAAGCTATAATTATTTTGTGCTGTAGATTAATTACTAGCCCATTCTGGAAGATTAACAAAGTGAAGTGCATTGCATGATAAAAATATACAATCTCAATGATTAATCATTAAATTAATTTGATTAAAAAAAGGCACGTAGATCGAGGAAACGGACATAAAAATGGCAAATGATTGTGCCATGCCATTTTCACGTCGTCTTTGACGTCCGCGTCCTTGATCTACGTCTGTCTTCTAATTTCTGAACTACCACCGGGCCTGTAGATAATTATATGTTTCTATACAGATCAATTTTAACATCAAAGAAGCAATAGAGAACCACTCTGAAGGTCGGGAATTAGATAACTACTTAGAAAAAGGTGGCATTTTATCAAGCAAGCAACGGCGATTGTTGATCAAAATCTGCGTGTCAGCGTTGGTGGAAAAATGTGGCCTGTAAATATTACTGACCTTTAAGGCGGATTTCCATTCAGTGCAGAATGTCACGCGATCGATTTTTTGCGATCGCTTTCTTGCGATAGCTTTCTTTTGAAATACATGCAACAGTCAAGCGGAACTAATCCCATTAGAAGAGCTTGACTGAACACATTTCAAAAGAAAGCGAGCGCAAAAAATCGATCGCGCGACATTTTGCACTGAGTGGAAATCCGCCTTAAGAGAGGTCTTACTCAACTGTTGCTTACTCTGTCTGTAATGTGCATATGAATTCAGAAAATTTCCTGTATCAAAGGTATCCTACTTCGGAGCAAAAAACTTTGCTTGGAATGGAAATTATTAAAACCTATCCAACAATCAAAGACAACACACCTGGAATGAAAGGATATGTACGTTGAATCCAAAAATTATAAAAATTGACGTTAAACTTGGTGCTATTTATAACGGTATAATTGTATTAAGGTTTGACATTTGGCATGAATGTAGGAACATCTTTATGACAATGGACATGGATTCATCGAGTATCGCTTGAAAAATATGAGGACAGCCAGACCAGACGAGAGACGTGGACGAAAAAGAAAGATGGAAGCAAAGACCACTGTTGAAAGAGACGTTGAAAAAGTATCTGAAGATGAAGAAGAGAATTTGGAATTGACTCAAAACATGAACGAAAAGGTAAGAAGTACTAACTGTATATATAGCATGGATACGAGTAACAAGGTCAGCAGAGGAGCTAGGGTTTATATGCAATCATGCATGAAAATATAGATGAATAAACGTTGCAGTACGCACAGAAGGTTGGTCTTCTTCCAGTTTAGCCTGATGTTTAAATAAACGTCTGTTGACTCTAGGTTTCATGGATGAAGTACAATGCACCCAGTAATGACAAAATGGGAAGACACCTTCAGTACTTTAAGGAAACATTTAAGCACAGACGAAATGCCATTAAATGTTTAGAGCTCACAACTATAACAAGCATCATTGAAAAATACCCACGATTTAAAGATGTACCTGATATGGTAAAGTCTTATTTGAATTGTATTATTGTAACTGATTTTTATGTACCCCAAAACATCGATCTAATATTGTCTTATATGTAGGAGGGAAGTAGTTTATTTTTCGTGAGTATTGCTGATATTTCTGTAAAGAATATATTATATTATAATTAGAATTTATTTTATATCTGTATAGATTAATGTTGAGTTTCAACTGTTGTATCCTGAAGAATGCGATAATTTCCTTACCAAATGGGGGACTTACTTTCAAGAAAGAATTATTGTGTTGGGTAGAAATGAATACCCTGCTGTTTAACAAATTATCAGTGATTCGAAGAATAGTAAGTTATCTTTGATTTAATTCCAAATACAATTATATCAGCAGTTGTATTAAGCGAGGCGTGCTTGGTAATAGAACGGTTCATTTATGTATAATTTTCCCGCAGTATACTGTATAATTAAGTTAAAAATACATGTCGAACTGAAAACCACGGAGTGACCGACAGTACAAATTTGGCCTTTTGCAATAGATTTTAGTTACATATCGTGTTCTTATATATAGGTGACCTTTGCGCATTGTATGTATTGGCCTATATTTTACACAAGTCAACAAACAGAAAGAAAGGAAAAACTAGTACGGTTACAAGAGATGGGGCCATCACATACTTATTGCAAAATGTCCCAGTACGTATATACTTTTATATTTTCATTATATATTTATGTTTATTTTCCATTATATTTATTTTTTCATTCAATAAAACGTATATATGTTTTACCTTTCTAGAGCGGGAGTGATGTGGAAGAAGCGGCTAAATCAAAGGATGAAAGATTTACGCAACCATTTTTATTGTCCACAGGAAATGCGCAGAATCCTGAGGATTATTTTATTGTTCTGGATCGAATTGTCATTCCTTGTGGACAAGATGTCGTAAAGGCGGTGGATATGCTTTTTAAAAGCCACTACGTGTTTAATGTGGAGTATGCATCTCCGCTGCATAATTTTTGGGAGTTCATAGCAGCGATGATCTATGGAGTGATCAAGCCTTCTGCGACAGGTCCAACTGTCCGAGCTCTTGGCTCTTCATGCAGAGACCTAAAATTGTAACTATGCAGCATATACGTTTAAAAACCTGTTATTTCTTACTTTAAATCAGTAAAAAAATAGCTGCATGCACAAAAAGCTATACTTGCATAGGTTAGTTCTTATGTTAGTCATTTGTATGGTTATTATCGCTGCGTGCCTGTTATATAATTTATTATTTATTACATATTTTTAAAAAAAACATGAGATGTTTCTTTATTTTTGGTGTTTTTCAAGAGAATCGGATCTATGATTGAAAACCCAATCTACAAGATTGAAAATTCTAATCTAATAGATTGAACGTTTGAGAGTCTTCAATCTAAAAGAAGATTGATTTTCAATCCGGGTCGTTTGGTCCTGCATACCAAACTTGCAAAGATTGAAAAAAGATTGAAAACCTTAACCGATTGAAAATTATTCACTCGTTTAGATTGAAAATATTCCAATCTAAATGTAGAGTGAAAGTAAATTTTCAATCGCAAAGTATTGAAGTTGGATTGAAAAGTAACTCTTTTTCGATTGATTTTGTTCTCAATCAAGTGTACGATTGATTTTCAATCGAAAACGTTTGGTCACGCAAAACAATCTCAAAAAGATTGAAAATTCAATCTAATAGATTGAATTTTCAATCGTTTGAATTAAGAGAGTACTTAATGTAGTAGTACTATTCAAATTCATGTAAATAGACGAACAACGCGGGCAACTCGTGCTGACGGATGATCCGTCAGTTTCCGTTTGTTTGCCGAGGTTAAAAAAGACACGAACTAGGAAACCAACTATCTTTAGCTTGCCCGATTTAACCCGTGCCTATAGTATAAATCGACTGTCAGGATCATGCTATATACTAGCTGATTTACACATTTCAATTTCATCACACGCTTCCTTAAATTTCGACTGAGAAGGGATCATTTGACAGCCTTATAATATGAGTATATATAATACACTACTTAAAGGTCTTCGGCGACTGCATGATTGGTGTGTAAACTTAATTGCTGTCGCAGCGAGCGAGCCTGAAGCGAGCGAGGGAGGCAAAACTCCAAATCTATACATTAGGAGGAAAAATCTGGATTTTGCTATGCGCGTTGCATTGCGGTAGTTTTTATGCATTCTTTCCTTGTACCTGTACTGTATACAATCCAGTCAGCATATTTTGAATATTAACGAAACATAATACTTTTTATCCCAACAAAGCTAGTCATCGAGCGAAACCTGACACTATGGACTATTTATCAGTATTTCTATAGAGAGTCCTAGCGTTGCAAACACGATAAATATACTTCAGGATAACAATATGGCTATAATAATAATGATGTATCGATCTTCTATCGATCTTTCGAAAACGCCCGGAAATTGTAACAAAGCATTCGATATATCAACGTGTGAATGCGCCAAAAATTTCTATATACACGTTGATCGGCAGACATATAACAACTTACAATCGAAATTTGCCATATATACTTTTCTATTAAATTAAACCAGGTAAATGTAGTATCGAAATGCTTAATTCATCCGCACTCTTACGAAGTGCATGGACGGTATGCAAAATAAAATGAGATACTTCCTCTTTATCTACGCAGTTATTTCCCGTCATAACACAATAAACTGAAATATGTAGCGAGCGAATTACAAGGTTTCAAACCAATATTGCAAATTATATTTTTGCATATGACATTATGATGCCGATTATCCAAATGTTGTCCAATTTTGTGCGTTCTTTGATCATAACGAGAGAGGAGGATGAATATGTCTTAAAAACAGTCCGAGAGATCTTAATCGCACCGCAACTGAATCTTCAATATGTAATATCTCCCGCGCTATACTGGCTATCAAATCCTGTCTCATCAAACGTAATAACATTAGCCTTTTCCAATAAGAGAGGAACTATTATTTACACGATTTAGCGAACTTATATAATAAAGATTGTGGCTACAAGGCGCATTTCCACTTATAGAGGCCGAAATATAAAGTCCATTCTAAAAGCAAATTTCGAAAGCTATGCATGCATGGACAATAGAATAGTAATCGCCAAGTGTAATCCTCAAAAAATTTTTTTAAAAAATAGACTTTATTTATTTAGAAACTGAAAAATTTGATCGGCCGAATTGTGTCGGGTCTGTGCAGGCCTAAATTGCCGATTTCAACTGTCCGCTGTATACGAAGATGGAAGTATTGATATCTATCTGTATAGAAGGGAGACCAGTACACACACAGTTTTGATTTGCACACTTAAGCTTACATAAACAACTTAATTCTTCAGGCTTGAATTCAAAAGTTTTCAAATTATTACTTCATTAATTGACGGATGTGCCGCTTTTGGGAGACTCAATATTAAAGCTGCTTTAAGTCTGGTAGCATGACAAACAGCAATTGTCCTAAATAATTCCCTTACACGACATTTATAAGCTTCTACGTTTGAAACTAATTTGATTTAACAGCAATTACCTTGATGTTCTTTAATAACCAGCCAATTCACTGTACGTAATCTTCTGGTTTCTGGCTCAAAAAATGAAACCCACTTAGTTTTCTCGACTACTCCTTGAATGAAATCTGAATTAAAGCGCGAAGGTTTGACTGGGCTTCTGATTTTCTGAACATCTGCATGGTGCAATCACGCGTGTTATTTGATCCGGAGGTAAAAAAAATATTATTATACAACAGTAGGCATGACAACCGTATAAAATTTGCGTGGCGTAAATTCTTTTCATATATTACGGGTCGGGATAAAGTGCGGATGCGGACGGACGGACAAAAATAATAAAATGCGGATTGTGGATTTCAATATTATATGTCATTAATTAATGAGAGATATAAACTCTGTATATCCAGATGAAACTTCACACTTCAGTGGAGTAACCCATCATGGTATCGACAACATATTCGAAACAAAATACGGCTGTTTTAAACAAACACAGTTCTTGTTTATGTAAACTCAATGTACGCAGTTGAAACTTCACACTTGGGAAATCTGCATTTTATTCTTCTTGTCCGCAATCCGCATTTTATTCTTTTTGTCCGTCCTTCCGTTCACATCCGCACTTTATCCCAACTTAAACGGTGACAACATTTTTTTAGCTGATGTTTACAAAATTTCTCATCCAACTTTTTCAGGACTCTTCTTTTTTTAACTAAAATCACCCATTACACTGTGTATAAAACGTACGTTCACATTATCACTAGATTCAATACAAATACAATCTTAAGTGTCAGGCATGGATGCACAGTACAATCACATTTTCAAACACTTAAATCACAACCTTATACATCAATTAGCTTGAAAAACAAGAAGTAAGGCCATCAGTGAGATACCTTATCGTTTACCTACACAGTCGTATTTACTCTTTGAACCATTGGACACGCACTTTCCTCCGTACTTACAGTCCTGCGTGCATTCTTCGACATTAGGGCCGCATGTTGCTGTACAACCTTTGTATTTACAAACTTGATTACATCTCTTAGAATTGCATGTCAGCTGGCAGTTGGCCTTGTAGCACTCTTGTGAGCAGGTTTCTCCTCCTGAACATTCTGCTTGGCAGCCTTGTCCCTTGTAACATTCTTGCTGACAGTCTCTCGAGTTGCAAGATAATGAACACTTTCCTTTATAGCATTTTTGTTGGCACGTCTCTTTGGCTCTACTTCCATTATTACACGTTGCTTGGCAGTCTTCTTTGTAACATTCTTGCTTGCAGAGTTTTGTATCGCAGGACAATGAGCAATCTCCAGATCCTTTCCTGCATTTTTGTTGGCACGTCTCCCTGGCATTACATGTTTGCTGGCAGGTTTTACTGTAGGAGCACTCTTGCGAGCAGTGTTTCACACCAACATTACATTTTGGGGTGCAATTTGCGTCGTAACATTCCTGAACACAGGTCTGATCTTTTTCATTGCATGAATAATCACATATTTTTCCAATGCAGTTAGTGCTTCTGGGACAACTGAATTTGTCACAACTTGCATGCGCATAAAATGAATTGCCATCAAGTAACCATATAACGAGGAACGACAACGCAAGCCACTTGGGGATCGTTGCAGTTATACTCATCTAATAAAAACATTTTGAGAACGATTAGTAAAAGGGTGAGACTGAACTACATACATCGATACATCGACTACTTTACTAAGGCCAAATTTATCAATTGTTTTCTGGTCTTTTTGGTTGAAAGACTGATGAAATATAATTTCATATACCCATGCACAATTCTAAACAATATAATAATACTAGAAATACACGCAGGGAGGCAGTAAATATTTATTTCAGATAAAATCCATATTTGGTTACCACTCATGGTTGGAATTAAGCTTTTCGTTTAATTTTGAAAGCATAATTTGCAATTGTTTCATGGGCGAGAGGCTAAGCCTAAGGGAAAAAAGTGCCCCCAAAGAGGAGCGGTTTTGTTGTCAACAATTATTTGCTGTCTACAATTATTTTCAACTATTTAAGGCGATTTTAGCATTCGACACACGAACAAAGTTTGTTAAAAGCGTGAAGCACAGTCCGTCATGTAAACAAACGCTTTGTTTACATTTTGAATCTGTATATTTCTTAATTAAAATATAAAGAATTTTTAGAATATTTTAGTCCGCTATATTTTTAAATGGATATGAGAGAGAATTTATTCTAAGAGATATACGAAACGTGCGAAATTTGAGCAATTTTGAAACAAGTAGGCCACCCATTTTGTTATATGAGCAGACCGATTCATCGACAGTTGCTTTGCCAGTTTGTCGGTCTTCACAGAATTCTTGGTCTACTCGCAGTTCGCGCTAGTCGTTTGACGAAAGGACAGACATACAGAAAAACGTATTTAAGAAATTGACATTTAAAATACAAAATTGAGAACTACATAATCGTGTAAAATTTGATATTGTTACTTGCAATTAACTTTGCCACATTTCCTTTTTGTGCTTCTAACTTCAGCCCTTAGCCCTAAGCCGTATATTCCTTACATGACATTTGTCAGATTCTACGATTATTTATGGTAGTTACCTTGACGTGCTTTTACCAGTTATTAGTTTTTTCACGGAATAAAATACTCTCCTAACTGCAGACGTTTAGTTTGAATGTGCAATCCATAGAGGAAAAAAGATTATACATGCACAGGAAGCAATTTCAAGTGAAATATGATACGCGAGTTTCCACGACAACCGTATCCGTATACTTCCGTGTACTAATTGCGAAAATCGGAAACTTATACCGGAGCTTGAGAGGTTTTTTCAACATATCTTTGCATAATTAACATTTAATTGTTTTGTCTTCAAGAATATTTATTAAATAATTGTCTTCTTTTGTAGTGTACCAAAAAACATCCATAATATAACATAATCTATTCTGAGTTCGCATTCTGCAACCTTTTGACAGCTCATCATACAGCGATGACAGCAGCTGTGAAATTGCCATTCTGAGGCTTGTGTCTGTTTATATGAATTTGCTATTTCGTTTCTTTGAGGATAAATAGTTCTTAAATTACATAATCTTTCGAAAATGTGTAATGGATGTGAACTCCTCAAGATAACAAAAAAACATATATGATAAAGGTCCTCTACTGCCATTCATAGCTGAAATTAGACCTTTTGATTGAAAGCATTATTTGTTTTGGCTATAAGCATGGATTAAAAGGAATATAACAATGTTTGCCAGAGAAATTGTTATGCAATTTACGTTCATTAAGCGTAAACTATTTACGGGTTTGTTTACGTTTAAAACATGACGTATTTTATTTATCGTTCGACTGCAAGCAAAAAGACACACACGTTAACGATTACAGTGGCGTCGCCAGCATCGATAAGTGGGGTGTACATAGTCATATATTCATATATTCATGTTCACAGACCGTAAAAACAATCAATTTGAAAAGAAATGAATAATGTAAAACACGAATATATAAATACTAGTCCCCCCCACTTATCAAGCTGCCGACGCCACTGAACGATGAGCATTCGTTTATTACTTAATTACTGTCAATAGACAGTAAGTGATAAACGAATCTTAAGCTATCCTAAACGGAATATTTCACGCTTAAAACGACACGTTTCATTGTTGCTTTCGAATGGTACTGCTAAATAGGCGATAGATATCACATGCGTTTTCCATGCATCAACCCATACAATTGACCAATTCATATGCTGAATTATTTGATTCCATTTGAAAAGAGATACACGTGCATAATTCGAACTGTAAATTCCAATCTTCTGGAGTCAGTGGTATGAAAGACTGGTTAACTTTTAACTGTACTTATGGACAGAATTGATTTTATACAACTGGCCCTAGCTGTTCTTGGATAACTAACAGGAATGTACCCGCCGCCGGATCACACCCTTCGGTAATAATTTTGTTTATAACTTGTGTTCTTAATCGTGACTTAAAACATTTTCCCTCATCATGTCAGTGCATGATACCCTCTTCCGAAACGGTTGAATTTTAACACATTTATGTTGGGTGTAACTAGTAATGTTTGACACTGCATGGTATATATAGTATACTGTTACTGCACTAAAGCCCTGTCTACACGATGCCGGAAGAATTTGAAAACGGAAAAATATTTATCCGTTAAAATATTTCTCTTCGTCCGCATGCACGTAAACACAAAAACAATCCGAACAATAGCTTATTGTCTATTGTTCATGGTTGATATGCGGGTCTTCTTAGTTTGAAGTCGTATGTCATATCCTCAAGTCCTTTCCACAAGCGAATTGTGCGAGTAGACAGGGAACTCCGCGAAGCCTGACACAAACCGGGCGTGAAACGGCAACGCAACGAGAAATTTTAATTGTTCAAGTTGTATGCCACCCTCGTTACTATTCCACGCTGTCGCTTTTAGTGCCAAAACGGTAATACAATAAAATAAATCAACGCGTATAAATGTAGAATCGCTTCCTAACCCTTAACCCCGAATATTTACGTCGTATACACTATATATAAATATATATATACATTACCAGAAATTTGCGACATGATAATTTGCATGTATACTAATTTGCATTTAACTTTCAGCATAATGGCCTTCAACATTTACTATAAAATATATATAGTAAATATACAAAACGTAAAAATGCCGTTGACCTAGACGTTGCCTACTGTTTGCCGACCTCTAGATCGGTCGAGCAGCTGTTTAGAAACGTTTTGGTGGCCGAATTTTTTTGCTTGGGCATTTCTGTAATCTGCCAAATTTAAAAATATATTGCTCAAAGTTTTGTCCGTGTTCTGTCAACGAACTTATAAAATCGCTCACATTGATTCGAATATTTCGATTCAGGTAGTTGATGAATTGACGTGTAATGTACCAAAAAAAATTGTTAAAGATATTGTCTTTCGTATTTGTGTATAAAAACTTTTCTGTACGGCTCGGATTTTCACTGCAATCACTTTAAAAAATATTATCAGTCTTATCAGGAACTTGAACAATACGAAGGCTATATACACATTTGTTCACAATCAGTTGGCCGAACGTAGAAATACCTAAGGTAAGTAATTCGATCATTAAAACGTTGGGAAACGGCTGTTCTATTGACCCAGAGGTCGGCAAACAGTAGGCAAGGTCTAGGGCAACGACATTTTAAGGTTTTGTATATTTACTATATGTATTTGATAGTAAAAGTTGAAGGCCATTATGCTGAAAGTTAAATGCAAATTAGTATAAATGCAAATTATCATGTCGTGTCGCGAATTTCTGGTAATGTATATATATATATATATATATATATATATATATATATATATATATATATTATATATATATTAATATATATTTATATAATATATTATATATATATATATATATATAAATATATATATATATACACACTATATTTCTACTACAAGCTATTGAAATACATACCAACATTCATCTCGAAATTTTTATTTCTATTGCTACTGTGAATTTAATCATAACTATATTTAAAGTAATTACCTTAAAAATTGCTGTTTCAAGCTATTGCGGTTAAGACGTTATTCTCTAGTATCATCAAATGAAACTCCCTTTTCTTTTACCTTTTTTCAGTAAAACCTGTTTTTAAGCACAGAGGCTTATAAACGGTTTATCAGTATCAGTTAATGCATACAGGATCAATCAGAAATCCTTCTTCATAAAAAACGTAAACAAACAGTAGAAAAGAGTAATGCATTAATTACAGCAACTTTTTAATATCGCAAAACAACCGAAAGTTAGAAGTTGGCAAGATGATATATTCCTGTCTTCCATTTAGCTTTTAGTTGAATAGAAAACTTGTATTATAATATATAATGACAAATGTTTCAAAGGCCATGTTTCAAGGGAAAGCGCGTGTTTCAAGGCAAAGTACGCACTTGCGAGAAATGCAACTTAGGTACCCCTGGTCCACGACAGAAATCGACCATCGATTCAGTTTTCTACCAACAATTTAGTTGCAAGGTACACAGTGTCATGCATCAAAAGTAATCCATAAGCTGTAGCTACCGCCTAAGATATTGCTCTACCCAAACGGTGTTTCGGAACTTAAGAGGAGTTATGCGAGACGAAGTATGGATGGCAACTCAGGTGTTGGGTATCTCATTAATATGACACAATATTTGACGTATTAAATATGATTTCCCACACTGACTCTGCCCCGATATATAAAAATTTGCAGGTACTTAAAACCTTACATCCATAATGACAGTAAAAGTATAAATGAATTAAATAATTAGTGTTTAATCAATTGGTTGATTTTGCCTTGACCGACGCGACGCCTGGCGGCCAGGTTGCTCAAAATTAGCAATTGTTACGCTATCTATAGTTTCATTCCTATCTTTTGGTCGTAAAATGATTTCTTTTATCTGAAAAGGTGCATGACAAATCCTTAACTGGTGCACAAGAAATTTCCTCCCAATTTGTTAGGACTTTATTTATATAAAATCATGCAATACACTGTGAATCTAAAACTATATAAAAACGATCACAATATTACTAAAATCTTAATTGCTCATGCATGCATATACAGTAATAAACCTCAGTAAAAACACCCCATTTCTATTTGTTCACTTTTAAAATTTAAATCAAAAAATTATACATGAATTAGTTTGGAAGACAACAAGGAAAGGAAACAGCAGGGTACCATATCGCTTACCAAAACAACTGGCTTCACTTTTCGTACCATTTTTGGTAGTTTTTGTTGCAGTTACTGTTTGATTAGTCCTCAGATTGATGGTTGTAGTTGGATTAAGTTCCTGATTAGTGTTCGGATTGATGATTGTAGTTGGATTAGGTTCCTGATTAGTGTTTGGATTAATGGTTGTAGTTGGATTAAGTTCCTGATTAGTGCTCGGATTGATGATTTTAGTTGGATTAAGTTCCTGATTAGTGCTCGGATTGATGGTTGTAGTGAGATTAGGTCCCTGGACCCATTGGCTTCCTTTTTTAACACATTTTTTGGCGTTGCAATATGATATGCACTTTGTGTGTTGACATTCCTGCGTGCATTCCTCGACATCAGGGCCGCATATTGCTATACAACCTTCATAATCGCAAACTTGATGACATTTCTTAGAATTGCATGTCAGCTGGCAGTTATCCGAATATGAGCACTTTTGCGAGCAATTTTTCATTCCGGCATCACATTTTAATTTGCAATCATTGCCAAAAGTACAACCCTGCGTGCATTCCTCGACATCAGAGCTACATGTTGCTATGCAACGTGTGTACTCGCACTTCTGATTGCATTTCTTGGAATTGCATGTCAGCTGGGTCTTATGCGAGAATGAACTCGTTTGCGAGCAATTTTTCATTCCGGCAACACATTTTAATTTGCAATCATTGCCAAAAGTACAACCCTGCGTGCATTCCTCGACATCAGAACTACATGTTGCTATGCAACCTGCGTACTCGCACTTCTGATTGCATTTTTCGGAATTGCATTTGAGCTGGCTGTTATCCGAATATGAGCTCACTTGGTTACATTTCTTAGAATTGCATGTCTGCTGGCAGTTATCTGGATATGAACAATGTTGCGAGCAAACCTCGATCTCATTGTGACAAGTAAAATTGCAAAATTGCCCGGACGAACACTCCTGCGTGCAATTCGTAACGCCCGAGCTACATGTTGCTATGCAACCCGCGTACTCGCACTTCTGATCGCATTTTTCGGAATTGCATGTGAGCTGGCTCTTATCCGAATATGAGCTCACTTGGTTACATTTCTTAGAATTGCATGTCTGCTGGCAGTTAGCTGGATATGAACAATATTGCAAGCCATTTTCGGTGTCATTCTCACATGTAAAATTACAATAATCGCCGTACGAACAATCCTGCGTGCAATTCTTGACGCCCGAGCCACATGTTGCGTTGCACTTTGCATAGGAACATCCTTGATCACACTCCTTAGTGGTGTCGCAAGATGACGCACACGTTCCACGAAGGCAGTCTTGTTGACACTTCTCGCTTGCTCTGCAGGACATCACCTCATAATTTCCTGTTTGATCGCATTTCTCAACGCCAGCGTGGCATGCTGTCTGACAGCCTTTAGTGTAGCAATTTTGAGAGCAGGTCGTTTTATCTCCGGAGCATGAAGGAGTACATCCATTTCCACAGTTAGTAGTTTGGGGACACGTGTTTTGATCACAAATTGCGCGTGCAGAAAACGAATTTTCATTAAATTCGCATAAACACCATTGCACAAGCAACACCAGGGTAAATCGTTTAGCGATCGTTGTAATCATCTAAAAAAATAAGAGGTTTTGTCGTATATAAGCGAGAAAAGTAAACTACAGTAAACAAAGTAGCTACATTTAATAAGTTTGAATGTTTGCATAGCAATAAAACATAATTTTGTACGTTCGGAAATACCACGTAAAAAACTAAATCAAAACTAAATTCACGTGGTGTTTTCACAACCAAGGGGAGCATATTCATCTACAGGGTGTCCCAAAAAAATGTCCCTTCTATTGAAATCAAGCCTTTGTTCGAATCTGATTGCCTTATTATTATTATGATAAACCCAATTGAAAGCAAGACGCTTTATTTGAATGCCTCAACCTAATAAATATGCTATTTACACACTAATGCGTTGATCATGCATTCAAATTCCAACAAAAGCTTCATTTCTATAGCGGGGACTTTTTTTTGGGACACCCTGTATATGTATTCATATTTACCTACCTTGGCAAGTAAAACGGTTAAAGAATTACAAATTATGTATATCATTCAGAATATAAGACAGTAAGAATTCCCAACATTACTTATAACATTAATAAAGAAGGATTATTTATGTGGCAAAAGGAATGCACAAACGCCGTTTTATATGATGAAATTTTGCGTAATTCATTCCCATACGGTATCTCTACTAACAGATGAATGATGCATCTAGACGAACTACTACATACATACATAAAAAAATATTTCATGACGCATCTCCCATCCGCCATTTAATTGATGTTCTGCCTGAGAAGCGTCAAAAGAATAAAACATATTTGCAAAAAAACTTTGAATAAAAGGTTTCTTGGAAGGTCTCTGATAATATGTGTTGATCAAACTATAGGCTTCAAGATGCTTTTTAAAAGCGCTTAATGTAGTAGTACTATTCAAATTCATGTAAATAGATGAACAAAACGGGCAACTCGTGTGATGACAGATGATCCGTCAGTTTCGGTGTGTTTGCCGAGGTTAAAAAAGACACGAACTAGGAAACGAACTATCTTTAGCTTGCCCGATTTAACCCGTCCCCAGTATAAATCGACTGTCAGGATCATGCTATATACTAGCTGATATACACATTTCAATATCTCAAAGTCATCACACGCTTCGTTAAATTTCGACTGAGAGGCGATAATTTACAGCCCTATAACATATATTATATATATATATATATATATATATATACTCGATATATATATATATATACTATATATACTATGCGCGTTGCATTGCGGTAGTTTTTATGCATTCTTTCCATGTACCTGAACTGTATGCAATCCAGTCGGCATGTTTTTTATATTAACGAAACATAATACTTTTTATCACAACAAAGCTAGTCATCGGGCGAAGCCTGACACTATGGTCTATTTATCAGTATTCCTATAGCGAATCATAATACTTCAGGATAATTCTATAATAATAATGATGTATCGATCTTCTATCGATCCTTGGAAAACGCCCGGAAATTCTAACAAAGCATTCGATATGTCAACGTGTGAATGCGCCAACAATTTCTATACGTGGACCGGCAGACATATAGCAATTTACAATCGAAATATGCCATACTTTTCTATTAAATTCAACCAGGTAAATGTAGCATCGAAATGCTTAATTCATGCCCACTCTTACGAAGTGCATGGGCGGTATGCAAAATAAAATGAGATACTTCCTCTATATCCACGCAGTTATTTCGCGTCATAACACAATAAACTTATATATGTAGCAAGCGAATTACAAGGTTTCAAACCAATGTTGCAAATTATTTTTTTGCATATGACATTATGATGCCGATTATCCAAATGTTGTCCAACTTTGTGCGTTCTTTGATCATAACGAGAGAGGAGGATGAAGATGTCTTAAAAAAAGTACGAGAGATCTTAATCGCAACGCAAAATCTTCAATATGTAATATCCCGCGCGCTATACTGACTATCAATTCCTGTCTCATCAAAAGTAATAACATTAGCCTTTTCCCATAAGAGAGGAACTATCATTTACACGATTTAGCGAACTTATATAATAAAGGTTGAAACACACCAGACTTCGTGCCGCACGCAAGGCGCATTTCCGTCTATAAAGACCAAAATATAAGGTCCATTCTAAAAGCAAATTTCGAAAGCTATAACGAAAAGCCAGTCAGCTCCAGTTTCAGATTCGGGGCTCCAGTAATATATTGAACCTGGAGCCAGAGGCATGGCGCATCTATTTGGATGGCTATAACTTCACAAAGGCTTCGCCTATCCCAATAATGTTTTTTTCATTCTTCATCAACAACAGAAGTGTACATTAATACAAACGCCAAGATGCTACCCCTTCTAGATCTATCGCAAAAGCTCGCATAAGCCATGTCTGCATACGGCCGGCTAGTCAGCAAAATCGTTCTATCCTCGAAACGAATTCATATAATCCTGCATGTAATACTAATTTTCATTCTTCTACGATAACTTACACACAATTTAAGACAACCGGCTCCTCTATAGCGCTTTGAGTTGGCTCTATTAAGCTCGCATTTACACGATTTAGCGAACTTATGATAATAAAGGTTGAAACACACCAGACTTCGTGCCGCCTACAAGGCGCATTTTCGTCTATAAAGACCGAAATATAAGGTCCATTCTAAAAGCAAATTTTAAAAGCTATACATGCATGGACAATACAATAGTAATCGCCAAGTGTAATCCTCAAGAATATTATAAAAGGTAAAATTTACTCATTTAGAAACTGAAAAATTTGATCGGCCGAATTGTGTCGGGTCTGTGCAGGCCTAAATTGCCGATTTCCACTGTCCACTTTACGAAGGCGGAAGTATTGATCATTTGATCTGTAGAAGTGACACCAGTAAACACACAGTTTTGATTTGTGCACTTAAGCTTATAATTTTATAGACAACTTAATTCTTCAGGCTTGAATTCAAAAGTTTTCAAATTATTACTTTATTAATTGACGGACGTGCCGCTTTTGGGAGACCCAATAGTGAAGCCTGCTTTAAGTCTGGTAGCATGACAAACAGCAATTGTCCTAAATAATTCCCTTACACGACATTTATGAGCTTCTACGTTTGAAACTAATTTCATTTAACAGCAATTACCTTGATGTTCTTTAATAACCAGCCAATTCACTGTACGTAATCTTCTGGTTTCCGGCTCAAAAAATGAAACCCACTTAGTTCTCTTGACTACTCCTTGAATGAAATCTGAATTAAAGTGCGAAGGTTTGACTGGGCTTCTCAGGATGTTCTCAACATCTGCATGGTGCAATCACGCGTGTTATTTGATCCGGAGGTAAAGAAAAATAGTATTATACAACAGTAGGTATGACAGCCGTATAAAATTTGCGTGGCGCAAATTCTTTTCATTTATTGCGGGTCGGGATAAAATGCGGATGCGAATGGACGGACAAAAATAATAAAATGCGGATTGTGGTTTTCAATATTATATGTCATTAATTAATGAGAGATATAAACTCTGTATATCCAGATGAAACTTCACACTTCAGTGGAGTAACCCATGATGGTATCGACAACATATTCGAAGTAAAATACGGCTGTTTTTAAATAAACACAGTTCTTGTTTACGTAAACTCAATGTATGCAGTTTAAACTTCACACTTGGGCAACCCGCATTTTATTCTTTTTGTCCGTCTGTTCACATCTGCACTTTATCCCAACTCAAACGGTGACAACATTTTTTTAGCTGATGCTTACAAAATTTCTTATCCAACTTTTTCAGGACTTTTCTTTATTTAACTAAAATCATCCATTACACTGTGTATAAAACGTACGTTCACAATATCACTAGATTCAATACAAATGCAATCTTAAGTGTCAGGCATGGATACACAGTACAATCACATTTTCAAACACTTAAATCACAACATTATACATCAATTAGCTTGAAAAACAAGAAGCAAGGCAATCACTGAGATACCGTATCGTTTACCTTCACAGCCGTATTTACTCTTTGAACCATTGAAGACGCACTTTCCTCCGTACTTACAGTCCTGCTTGCATTCTTCGACATTAGAGCCACATGTTGCTGTACAACTTTCGTATTCACACCATTGATTACATCTCTTGGAATTGCATGTCAGCTGGCAGTTGCCCTTGTGGCACCTTTGTTTGCAGGTTTCCCCCCCAGTACATGTTGCTTGGCAGTCTTCTTCGTAACAATCTTGCTCGCAGACTTTTGAATTGCAGGACAACGAGCAAACTTCAGTTCCTCTATAGCATCTTTGTTGACACTTCTCTCGGGCTTTACAGGTTTGCTGGCAGGTTTTACTACCGTGGCACTCTTGCCAGCAGGATTTCACACCAACATTACATTTTGCGGTGCAATTTTTAGATTGACATTCCTGATCACACGTAATGGTATTGTTGCAAGATGATGAACATGCTCCGTCTCTACACTCCTGAACACACTTGTTGCTTGCTTCGCAGAACATTTCTCCATAATGGTTGAGCTGTTTGCATTTCTCCAACCCAGCGTGGCATGTCAACGAACACCCTTCGCTGCTACATCTCTGGGAGCAGGTCGTGTTACCTTCATCGCACGAAGGATCGCAATTTTCTACACAGTTTGCATATTTGGGACACCGGATTGGATCACACCTTGAAGCTTGCGCAGAAAGTGAATTTCCATCAAGTTGATTTAAACACCAAATAACGAGGAAAAACAACACAAACCGCTTAGTGATCGTTGAGTTGAAAGTCATCTAATAATAAGAGAGAGAGCAGTGTTTATGTCATGAGCAGAAAGCGATGCTGGTGA